GTTTTTGATCCCATTCCCCACTCCACCCCCATAAAATGTCTCTGGTATGTGGCTGTTCATTATTATTTTCTCCCCTGGTCCATTATACTTCTGCTATGAGTGAAACCATCCAGTATTTTCTTTCTCTTTCTGGCTTATCTCACTAAGCTTGATCTTTTCCAGCTCCATCCATGTTGCTGCAAAAGACATGTGTTTCTTTTTTTGGTTGCTGAGTAATATTTCATTGCATATATGTACCACATCTTTCTAATCCAGTCATCCACTTTTGGGCATTTGGGCTGCTTCCATGTCTTTCCAGTTGTGAATAAAGCAGCAATAAACATGGGGGTGCAGGTGTCTTTTTCAATTAGTGTTTTTGTGTCTTTTGGGCAGATACCTAGGAGTGGGATTGCTGGGTCGTAGGGGAGCTCCATGTTTAGCATATTGAGCAGTTTCGGGAATCTCCAAACAGTTTTCCATAGTGGTTACACCAGTTTGCATTCCCACCAGCAGTGCAGGAGAGTTCCTTTCTCTCCACATCCTCGCTAACATTTGTTGTTGCTAGTTGTTTGAAGATGTGGCACTGATTTTTTTAAAGGAATAAATGAAAGCACAGGGTGGGAGGAGGGTCTTGTCTGCAAGCTGACCCTGGGGGTCCAGCTTCCAGGGCTGGGCGGGGAGCGCACTGGCGCCACCTAGAGCCCACACGCGTTCAGTGCAGCCTTAGGCTCAGTCCTCCAGGCACCTGCCATCTGGGCTAGAATGAGGGGGCAAGCAGGTGGTCTCTGGCCCTGAGGCCAGACCCCACAACAAGGAGATCACCAGACCCCGCTGTGGCAGGGTGGGGGGCTCTGGGAGAGACACCGCTCACCAGCAAGGTGGGGGGTTGACCGCCCAGGCAAGAGCCCCACGAAAGCAAGGAACCCAGTCTTCAGTCACACCCCCAAAGGCCCCACTGTAGACACCACAGTCGTCCCACGTTACACGCTACTCACTAGCGCACGCGTGAGAGTTGCTCGTGTTACAATGCGGCGCAACCTTGGAAATGGCTCAAAAAACCAAACACATGCTTATTGTGGAGATCGTGGGGTATTTAAAAGTGAAAAGGGGGACCCTCCCTCAAGGTGCAGTGGGGTACAGCACAGTGCTATGAAGCTATCCACAGCCTCTGCAGCACAAGTTAGATCCCCAGTCAGGGAGGGACCCCCAGGGTGCAGCAGACCCCTCCTGTCTCCCCACTGCTCCCCTCAGCAGTGGGTTTCTGCTCCCCACTCTGTCTCTGGTGAATCTTCTCACTCCCCACACCCCTAGCCTGCACCCCAGTTCTGTGTGCATAAATAAATAAATCCTAAAAAAAAAAA